AAGTAATTACCTCGTTCGCGGTATTCAGAAAATGGTTGTTTAAATGGGCGCGAGAAATTCAACAGTCTTATTTATAATTAACAAAAACGCTAGCGAGCTCCGAAACGTGATTGTTTAAATAGGCGCGAGAAATTTAACAATCTAATTTTTAGTTATCCAAAACTTTCACAAAACCGGGCACGTGGTTGTTTAAATATCGCGAAACGTTTTACAATTTTATTAATTAATAAAAATAGAACACAATTCCCGACGCGGTTTAAATAAGCGGAACACTGAGAAAGTTTATCAATCAATAAAGGGTCTCAATTGCCAACGGTTTAATTCGCGCCTCTACACGAAATCTCATTGTATTTGTCTAAATATTTTATTGTTATTCCGTTGGTCTGTTTAGTTTTGTTATTTTAATATTGTAGATTTTCCTTCAATCTTTAATAAGATTGAACGAATTCCCTGTAGCCCCTTCACGCATTTAAAGCGTCCTTCGTATAAGCTCTTCCGTGCTTTCGCAGTGCCACCTCCTAACACGGGTACTTTAAATTTATATTTTATTCACTGAAAGAAATATGTGTTAAACACCACACTAAATTATTCTCATAGGTCACATGCATTTATGAATATGAATTTAAGCATGCAATATACACAACCATATTTGAAAGAAAACTATCCGTGCTATTCGCAGATTTGCCAAAGATAGGAAAGAGAAATTTTCATTCACTTGCCGACTGATGACAGCTAGCGGATAAGCGTTTAATTCTACGCTCTTTTAAACAATGCGCGAAACACGAACGCGTTGCAAAAGGCCATTGTACTAATTAAATTAATAAAGAATCAATTTAATGTTTACTATTAATATTTACTTTATTTCTATTTTTTACATGTGATAATACGCACGTTCAAAAAGTAAAAAGATAACAATTAATAAAAACTTCCAATATAAAAGATTTTAAAATATCATGTAATATAAAAATTCTCGAGTCTCTAGAAATTTTCTATCCAAGCCAGTAAATTCTATAATTATCAATATATTTGAAAAATTCTATGATAGACGTATGACATTGCTGTAACAATAATCGATCACGAATAATAGATTCGCGCAGCGACAAAATCAAACGGCCCGCAACACGTCGATAGAAATGAATAGATTATATATAATATATATTTATCTCAGAACGCGAAATCTATTCTTATAATAAGTATATTATTAATTGGTACTTACCTATCGTACGTTGTACTCAGCTCACGATCGTCCCTCCTCGAATCTCGCTTGTCCTTCGACGAACCGCAATCAATCTCCATATCGTCTCTGTCTCGATGACCTCGGACTTTGTGCTCTGACTGACGGATGTAGGCTCGATGAAAATTCGATGCGTCTCGATTGGGCTTGGCTGAACGCGCGCACTTACTATATGCGTGCCATGCTGCCGAACGCGTACTACTTATTAATTACACTATGCGTATTATTGCTAAACGCGCACTCACTGCATATTTGTACTGCCGAACGCGCACTTAATACCGCGTACTCCCCGAATGCTTGTTTGATAGAGTTTGATAATTTGTAATTAAAGTTCACGGCGCCGGGAGCGCGCCACGCAGTACCATCCACACGCCGCGCCAATTCCCTACTGCTGAGCGCCCCGCGCCTCGTCAGCGCGCCGCGGCCGTCGAGCCGCCGAGCCCGGCCTCCCCACGCGCATGCGCGCGCTGCGCGCCTCGCCGCTCGCCGCAATGTTAATTCAATTGTATAGAATTTTGAAGGAATAATTACACCGATATTAAGCATATCGTATATTGTTCTGCGTGCTCTCCCGAAATAACGAGTAACGACAATACCGTAGAAACAGAGACTCGCATGACTTATTATATGTATAATTTAATTTTAAACGAGAAAGAAATCGATAGGTTCCTCTTTTTCTCTGTTGCACGGCTAGGATAAATGTAATTGCTTGTTGTTAATTATTATAAACTTCTGATACACATTACGATAATCTAACAGATAATTTAATACGCGAAATAGACAAAACAGTTCCGTAATTAACTGAACTGTAAAATAATTTGATCGCTTAAATTACCCTTAGCCGATTTCTCCCACTCGGTGTGATAATCTAAATAGAAACAGTCCTGGGGTTGGTAAATAACTGACACAATTTATTTAAAATAACAAATAAAATAAATTCCGTAAACTTATTTAAAATAAAATATTGCAGGTACCAGTAAAAATCTGAAACGACTTATATTTTAAATGCAAAATATAAAATATATCTCAAAGGCATAAATAAAATATTAAAGACAAATATTAAGACATAGATTAGGAAAAGTTATTTTTAAATAATAAATACTAAATAACTCTTTAATTTTTTTTAAATTAAAATACATATTTTAAATAATATTATTTTAAATACGACCGACCCTTAAATAATACGCAACCGTGTAAGAATATTCAATCAGTATATTACGATTTATTATATTATGAGAATTAAATCTTTTTCTTTGTTTGTTCTAACGATATGTTACATTGGGTATTAAAACGATTCTTTGTATGATGTCAGCTTGTTAACATATAACGTATAATATGTATGTAGATACGTCTTGAAATCTTTAATTTAAGAAATATATATATATATATATATATTAATTTATGTAATATGAAGTTTTGCAAGAAATAGAAAGGAAAAGAAAGATGGATATCGAGAAACAGTTACAGAGTGACAGAGACACTTAATGACATAAACGGAAAGCGACGGAGAGATACTTTTTTCTGATAAGAATTAAAAATTGGAATAATTTATTAATCTAAAGAAAAAAATTTTACATTAAAAATGTAAATAGTAAATAGATTTTCTATTTTAATATAATTTAAGTAAATTTATTTTTTTTTAAATATCTATAATATTTTCTATTTTTGTTTTTATGCGTAGATATTGAAAAATACAAGAGAGAAGACAAAAATAAATATTATAATAGCATTAATAGTTAAAAACGATCGGTAATATCGGCGATCTTTTCATGGAATTTACCTAGTATCGCCAGAAGCCAGAAAGAAGCATGAGATCGGTTGTTCTGGCTTTTTACGTGGGATCATCAGAATTCTGCCATATAACAGAAATTACATCCATTTTTTTTAAATGGATATAATATACTACATAATTATATCTATTTTTTGTTATAATTTTATCGACAATATCTGAAAATAGATGTAGCTACGTAATACCCATTTCAAAGTGGATGTAATTGCGGGAGTTCTGACGGTCCCACGTAAAAGGCCGAGATGGCCGGTCTCATGCTTCTCTCTGCTTCTGAGATCCATTGATAGTCACGCGATAAAATATCCACAGTCGATAGTTTTTATTAGTTGTTTTGAAGAGTATAGATTATCAAAATTTTTTTTATTGTGATATATACATAAATACCTAATGTTATAATTTACAATGTATAATAATTTTTAAAACTTTTCATTATATTTATATATATTATTATATGTATTATATGTGTTATAGACTTCAATGAATAAAAATGCAATATTTTTACGTGTATTTTACTATGAATGTTCTTTTTTCTGTAATTATCACGTAGTATATAATAATTAGCCAAACACAGAAAATAATAATAGAAGCAACATTTTAATTAAAGTTATCGCAGATAAATATATATGTACATATTAATAAGTAAATCCATAAATAATCCATAAAAATTATTAGGCTAATAATAATAATAAAAATATTTTCTTTTTTATATTGTATATTTTTTATATTATTATTATACGCTAAATTTTGACAGTCATGAAAATTTTTATAAAAATATTAATACTAATGCAAATTAATATAATCTTAAGTTTATTGAGAAACTTGTTAAAGCAAATCTGATAATATAAATAAAAAGAATAGAATCAACTGCTAAAATAATGAGTTAATGAGCATGTAATAATAGAGTTATTATATTGCGTGATAAACGTATATTGAAAGATCTTTATGTGGTATCATTACGCTTATATTGATTGTCTTGATTGCATTGATATGACCGATGAAAAAGTTATCATTTTTTCGAAAGCACACTAAGCGGTGAACAAATGTCTGAATAGGAATGAACATTGAGCTTTGCAGATTGAAGAAACAGAAAATAAAAAATAATCTAAGAAATGAAAGGAAGAAAGAGAAAAGGTCTGAAAGAGTATATAGTTAAATCACATCGCACTATTTCTGGAAAATGATTAACGTAGTAATAAAACATGATTAGTTAGAAATATCCATCTAAAAAGACAAATACGAATGGGTCAATTTCTGCGCGCTCTGTTAGCCGACCTTCTGCAAGGTCCTCCAATGAGCACGGGAGGACTTTGTGGTTGGAATGCGTGACTCGACGATTTTATAACCCGCTTTCAATTACCCTTCTTGGTGCTCCTGTTTCGTTCGCCTCGCGCCATTGCTGTAGAAGGAGAAGAAGAGGGAAATACCGCAACGCGAGCAAAAGGCATGGAACGTCCAAACGCCGCGTCGCGCGACGACGCTTCGCATCGCGTTTGTATCCTTACCTTCTTTCTTGCCCGCCCACCCTTTTTCTCACTCGCACTCTGCACAGAGACGTGATTTATTCGACGTCAGATAAACACATACAATCGCGCGCGCAGTCAGGAATAAGATTCGATAATGGTGTGCGTATAGCTAGACAGGAAACGCGTCTAAGGACATCCACCCCAACCAACGAGTGAACAATTTGTTTTGGCTCGTTTGCTCACTATGCTGAATTCAGAACGATGTCTATGAGACATCAAATAATTTAACTTGCTACACAAACGTAGATTTCTGCTTACCAAAATAAAATAACTTTTAATCTTAAACATCCAACATTATATACATCCATCGTTATAATAAATATATTATATCTTAACAAAATAATATTAATATTTGAATTTGTGTTTAACGTATTAATAATTTCTTTAAATAAATTAATTTATTGTTTTCCAATAGATTTACAATAATACAAAAAACACATTTGTCCCTTTTCAGACTCTACACGATGGCACTGATCCTGTTGATACCTATAATCGGATTTGTGGCAGCCAATCCTTTTCCAAGCACATTGAAGGACCGATTAGCTCCTCAAGTCCAAAAGGAGCTTTCGCTTTCTACGGAAAATTATTTGGACACAATAGACGACAGTCTAGATAAAATTAATGAAATGGTAATAAAAGAAAATATGAATAAGACACTATCAATCCCGAAGCATACAATAAACTATAATTTCAAAGCTTCTGAATCAAAGATACGTGAAATAAATGAGACAAATGAAATAAATGAAAAGAGGGCACAAGGACGGAAACGTAAAGCTATTCTTGTAGATTATCCTCTGTTATCGCGTATTTTACATTATCCAAGGGTACCTACATATGAAATCGACTACAACGACAATTCAGAGTTGACAACCATGGATAGATCGTCAGGCGCGTCTAAGAGATACCAAGAGAGTGATATCTTTTATATTCGACTGCCGCCCATTCCATACATGTTCGTACCCGGTCTCGGATATATCTCGCAACCACCTACGTACTCGGGCGCTTCCCTGAAGCCCCAGATACCCCTCGTTTCTCAACTAGTCCAGCTACATCACGTGAGACCTGTGCGACCTCAGCCAGCCTCTCAGCAGACCGTTAATCCCTTCATCAAATTGCCTATAGACTTCATAAGCAACGGCAAGCCCACCTCCGTTTACCAATGGCAGAAGAAGCCTGGCAAGAAGCCAACCGACAGTCCTATCACGAACTTGGACAACCTGTCAGCCGACTTCGTGAACAACGGTAAGCCGACCTCTATTTATCAATGGCAGGCGAATCTCAGGCCGGTAAAGAGGCCGGATGATTCGCTTAATAGCCTTGATATGGGACCTTACACCTTCAATGGCAAACTAACCAGCGTGTATTTGCTTGAATCGGATGATTCCACCTCAATGCATCAGTCCATTCGACATTCCAATTATCAAAATGCACGTGACTAAATTTAATTTGTATTATGTCGCATATTAAAATTCGGAAACATCCACGTACAATACAGAAGAGATTTGTAATAATATCTCTGAGGCAGACTTACAGACACTTTAATATAGAAAATCTCTAAAAATTATTTTAAATATATTATTTCACTTCAACAATGTTTTAATTGAAGCAATATTTTTCAAGAGAATTATTCAGATTGCATTATATTGTTATCTTTAATAATAACTTATTAAATAAAATTATGTAAATAAGGATACGTGTTATTGTATGAAGCGATTTTGCCAGTATTGTGCAATAATATTTTTAATACAATAATTAATATTTTATGAATTTTTATAAAATATGCAAAATGTATAATATAATGTTTAAAAATATATTTACTATTTTTGACATTTTTTCTAACTTATACACATATACATATATAACATTTATAATATATATATATATATATATATATAAAGCTTCGTATTTCTATAAGTTGCACAGGCTCGAACGTACAGGAATTAAATAATGTTAAAGTATGCAAGAGAGATTATATTATTTAAAATTGTTGTTTTAATTTGTGTACATTTATTGACTATTTATATTTATGCAATATACTTATGAATTTGTAAATATGTGAAATATATGTAAAAATGATCTTAAGAATAAAGACACATCATTTTTAACTTTACCCGTGACGGCAAAGTGAAAAGCGTATTTCCTACACTTGATTCCTTATAACACAAATATTGACTTGGGACATGAGTTTGGTGAGATTGTCTGGACTATATCCTGTCTGGTTACAAACATGCGCAATTTATTCAGATTAGACGCATAAGGGGATTCAATATTAAGATCATTTCGATGAGTTCTGATTTTGCTACTCCATCTAAAAATGTTATGATGTATATGTGTATGCATATGCGCATATATAATGTATGTAATGTATGTGTATAAATGTGTGTATCGTGTATACGCATATATAGTTTTATATAAATATATATTAATTATGTATTAATATAATTATTTCAATATTCTAATAATATAATATATATTTAAATATTATTTACATTTATTGTAACGCATTGTGATAAATTATTCTAACTTGAGAGACTGGAAAGATGCTAACAGTATAATAATAAAGTCTATTTGGTAAATACAAAAGCATTATTATTACATAATTATTATTATTACTATTATTATGTCTTAATTAATGAATGATAGAAATGTGAATTTTGTTAAAATAATAATAAATATAAATAAGAGAAATATATATAAAAAAATAATTAGGGAAATTATGAAATTATGATCGTAGTGGTATTTATTTTTAATTCTCGCGGCGTTTAAATCACTAATATTTTTATTACAAAAACGTTCACAAAATATAATCGTCCAACAATATATGTTTTGCTTGTGTTACTTAATTGTGAAACGGTAAAAAGACGTAATGTGTATAAGTATAGCTTTCGTTGAAAAAAGATGTTCTCCTTAATATTTTGAATTTGTACGATCAATTACCAAAAAATGTGGTCCCAGAGGCGAGCGACTCGTCACCATGGCGTGGCCGTTGCTTGCAGATATTAAAGTAAATGTGCTGTAACGGGTTGCGAGGGTTCTCATCCAGATACAGAGTGGTCGAGCAAGGTCATAAACAGAGGTCTATAGGTTCATTAATTTCTGTGTTCTTTCGTGCGCACGCGTTATCTTACTGATTAAAAATTCATTCATATCTGCTTAATGCAATTTTAAAATATCAAATGTCGTAGAAAACTGCAATAAGAATTAATTTGCGTACGAAATGTAAAGTTATTATTTCTAATTAAATATGAAACTATAATCTAAATATTTAAATCTAATTAGAAATAACTTGATTGCATATTACGTGCGTAAAAGGAGATAAAAATATTTCCAAATAATGATAACAACAAATAAATTTTAGAAAATTAGCACTGCTAAAATAATTGATTAAACACGAAAAGTGCAGGTTATACGGATTTTTAAAAGTAATTATTAAACAAAATATACAAAGAGCTATAAATATCTTTATTCGTTACATTGAATGCCTCATTACAATCGAGCGCACTTATACTCACGATGTCTAGAATGTAGAAAAAAATATATTTAACACAAATAATGTTTACGTTAATACACATAGGAGGAAAAATTTGCATGTTGTATAAAAACATGCGTATTGTCCAGTCTTAATGAAATGTCTACCTATAAATATATGAAAACATTTTATGTTGCTTAAGGTATTTGACATACTCAATCACGAATTAATTATATTTACGTGATTGTATACGAATGACGAATGCGCGAATGTAGTAATACGATAGTGTCCGCATATTTATTACATTTATAAAAATATATTATACAATGTTAATTCAATAATAGAAAATTTGATTATAAGGTCATAGATAATCGTTCAGAGGGAAGAAATAATTCGGTAATCATACACCGAAAAACAATCTTACATTTAATTGAATTTGTTAATAAAAAACAGAAGTGCTAACTCAGTTTAAGATCAAGTTCTATAAAAGAGTTGTTAGCTTTTCTGTTCTGTAGTAAATCAATGTTACGCGCGCGCGCGTAAAATCCTTATATTTTATTTTACTTAATCTATGTAAAAATATATAGCATTTTTTGTTTTTCTTTAAATCTTGTATATAAATAAAGAAGCAGATGAAGAGATAAAGAGAAGCTATATGTATTATATATATTATGTAATTTGAATGTTACATAGAATTAATATCTTAATCAATATTTATGTGTTGATAGTGTCAATAGCCTTCCAATGCAGGACAGACATGGAACGTTCAGTCATAATCTCAATAATACTATCGCGTTTTAATTTAAGAATACCGGAAGTTTCCGCAAAACACGCAAATAAAACAAAAAAATTATTTCTATGTTCTCGGCTTTTTTTTAAGTATTTATACTCATAAGTTTCATATACTCTCTATGATTAAATCAATTATCATAGCACTAGAGTTACATTTTTAGAAATATCTCAGAGATTATCAAAGATCTCGACTACTACTTTTAGTGCTAAAGAACAATCCGTGACAATGATCCTGTTTTTGATTGTCAAGAATGTATAAGTAGATCCACACTTTGTCACCTGTTACAATATCAAACACGGCATGGACCTCGATGGAATTTTTTACTTAAACCAATGCTGTGACAATACTGTGATAAGACAATTCTCGCGAGACTCTCATGATAAAATTTTTCATAGTGAAAAAAGCATTTTGAAATACAAAACAGAAAAATTGCCTATAATTTTAATAAATAATTTTTTTCTGATAAGTTTAGTCTTATAACAATTGATAAAAAATAAAGGATTTTGTTTTAACAAAGGTATCTTTTAAAATAACAAAATCATATTCAATACAAGTAACATAATCATATTCTTAAAAAGAAATAGATGTTTGGACTCCTAACATTTTGCGGAAATTTTTGTTGACTATGGGTACAATCAATACCAATTATTATTGTATTATATTAATGAATATAACATATTTTTTGTGAAAATATGATATGCTTAGATTCCTCATCTATTTGTTAGTTAATAAAGTAATGCAAATAAAAATCTCGTCTGCGGTTGTTACAATTCATAGAGTACGTGGATTATCCGAATATGATAATCGTAAAATAAAAAAATATGTGAAAAAAAACGAATTTATCAACAAGCTGCTAATGATAAAAATTATGCTTGCATTTCTAACATTTACTTATCTTAATAGATTTTTTATAAGTAAAGGTAATAACGATATATATTCAACAGAAGTCAAACAGTTTGCGGAATGCACTGTCTTGAAAAAGAATGACTATATGCAATATAGGCATGAAAGTCTCTGTTTCTCTCTTTTTTTTTGCATTTTATCGTTGTCATTCGAGTGGCGCGTTTCTCCCTGATTCTGTACAAACAGAGTAGTATGCATCTATTTAAGCTAACAGGCTCGCGAGTCAGTTAAGATATTACACGATTATGCACAAGTTAAACGAACAATCGGAGATTAAGGTAGAAGGGGATGATAGTATACTGGTTTGCGACTCTTCTCCATGACGTAGAAAGCCTTAGGTTTGCCATTTCCGGGGAAGTTCTTGTGGATGCTAGTGGAACCCGTCTTGGTGGCGATTGGCGCGTAATATGACGTGGCAGCTTTTTTCCGGTGCTTTTTCATCTTCGGCACGGTGTTCCTCGAGCCGTGAAGTTCATTGGTCAGATGGATCCTATGCACATTGAAATCGTCCAGTCTATATGCCTTGTTGCCAATATCGTTTTTCTTCGTCGACTTGAATTTAATATTGTCGTTGTCGTAGTTCGAATAGCTGAGCCTCTTGTCATTATTTCTAATGTGTTTCGTCACCGGCGGCTTTTGGTGGGAATAAAGTTTGTTATCAGCGGCACGATACTCGTAGCTTTTGCTACTGCTTGTGTCGAGCGGATAAAGCTTGTTCAGTATGGTTTTTGTAGAAGACGTTTGTTGCCGTTTCTTCATATCCTCCAGTTTTTTCCTAGTCTGGTCAATCCTCAGTTGACTTAGTTGAAGACGCTTCTCCGTGATTTTCTTTACCGGTAAATTCCAATGATAAATCTTGGCAGGTTTACCATTTCCTTGAAATCCCACCGGAAAACTCGGACCGGTCTTGGTTACTTTATCGTCGTTGATGGATTTGTGAGGCTTCGTAATCGTGTAGTACGGAGGACTAGCCGGAAGTTTTACGATGTAAACGTGGCTGTCGCGATGTCCATGACGACGACTGTAAGGCTGATGTATGCGCGTTTGCGAGCTGAGTCCCGGTGGTTCAGGTCCGGCTAATCGCTTCTTATGATGCCCATCGGGTATTTGAAGACGTGTCATTCCGAGTCTGTTGAAAACAGCCGCGTTGCTTGTATGAACCGTCTCGAAACTTTCCTCGGAAGTAGTCGCAGCGACGAGACTACTGAAGATCATCAGTAGTAAGCCACTTAAAAGACATAATCTAAAACAAAAATCATATACTTCGTTATGCGTACATATCTTTTATATTGATGTAGAAACGAGTTTTTAGTAATGAATAGTGCAGTGAATAAAAAACCGTTGATGCATATAAATATAATTAATTCAAAAGAACTTATATCTAAACGAGATTCCAACGACGTGATTCGCAAATACGTAACGTCCGCTTGAGATGTCGAGATTTAGATGAAGAAGAGATAAAGTTACGACTTAGAGAACGATTTATCATGAGTCACGATTGCCAGGTCGCGCGAAACCAACGAAAGAAATCATCTAACCGTAAGCGTTGGTGCCATCAAGAATTCAAAGGGAAGACTGTGAGCTCTTGACCTCGCAGCCATCTGGCCGCTCGTAAACCTGGCTACGTGTGTGAAAAAATTTTAATGAGGAAGAATTTCAGAGCGAGCGTGAAAGTGATGACTCTCTACTAACAAGGCGTCTAGAAATTTTACGAGGTGAGAAACCTACAATGCAAAAACATCATGACGATAAATACGCGTCAATTTGCTCTGCTGTTATGAGCCGCACCGCTGGTTAAACCTCGCGATGAATTACCCTTCCCACTTAATTACTTGTTGCAAGAATAAAGTATGTTAATTATTCTGCGTCTCTTCTACACCCTCTTTATGATAAGACGCATACATTAGGCATGTCTTTGATGAAATTAACGTTTCAACGACTCATCATCTGCACAATTTCTTTTGATAATTTATTAAAGAAAAAGAAGTATTTTCTTTGATGATCTCTCTGGAAAATAAATTTGTAACGTGTATAAAACACTAACTGAAGACGTATAAAACACAAGCAGATATATAGAATTGCGAGCAGCAATTCCTCGTCGAAAAAGTAATGAAATATTCATTGACTCGAGTGACTTTGGTAAGCCAATGTTCATCGGTCTTGAAAGTTGAAACGTCCGTCATGCAATAGCCATAAATTAATATGCCAGCCGGACGACTCCCTCGTTGTGAAATTATTCCTCCATCCAGCAAGGTACTTGACGTGGTCATTCACAACGACATGACACTCGTGTTGCATCTAAAGGAGTGACTGAAAAAGAAAAGGTGAAATACGATGGAGAAAGAAAAAGGTAGAGAAAGAAGA